CTGATCACAGGATAGATGTGGAGCTCCTGGAGAGAGGCCAGGGGAGGGCACGGAGATGCTGGGAGGGCTGGAGCAGCTCTGGGACAGGCTGGGAGAGTTGGGGTGTTCAGCCTGGAGAAGAGAAGGCTCCAGGGAGACCTTAGAGCAGCTTCCAGTGCCTGAAGGGGCTCCAGGAAAGCTGGGGAGGGGCTTGGGACAAGGGCAGGGAGGGATGGGATGAGGGGGATGGATTGAAACTGAAAGAGGGAGATTGAGGTTGGACATGAGGAGGGAATTCTTTGGTGTGAGGGTGGTGAGAGCCTGGCCCAGGTTGCCCAGGGAAGCTGTGGCTGCCCCATCCCTGGCAGTGTTGAAGGGCAGGTTGGATGGGGCTTGGAGCAGCCTGGGCTGGTGGGAGGTGTCCCTGCCCATGCAGGGGGTTGGATCTAGATGGTCTTTAAGGTCCCTTCCAACCTTAACCATCCTACAATTCTATGATCTGCCCTCCCAAGGTCTCTAATTCTAACACAAAATCCACTGAGGAAGGGAACTGATTTCATGTTCAATCAACCCAAATCTTTGCCTTCATGTTGAATGAATCTGAGTGTTTCTTTCCCCTCGGAAAGAACAAACACCCCAGGATCTGTCAGCAGAGCCCCCAGCAGAAACAAGGACCCCGGGTGGGTTTCTCTGCCTCAGTTTCCCCACCTCTAAAATGTGGCTGATCCCAATTCCTGTCCCTGGAGGTGTGTGTCTCTGCAGGGAAACATTCCACGGGGAAGCACCAGCATCTCTTCCCTCCTGCAGCTGAAGTGCCCGTTGGCCTCTGGGACTTCCCACATCCCTCTTCTTTTCCCCCTCTAATTCATTCACTGGTGTCTCAGAGCAGCTCCCAGCTGTTGCCATTGATCCTCTCAGCATGTTCAGCTCCTCTGGGCAGTGTCGTCCTGGGCACTGCTGTGGGAAAATGCCCCTGTGTCACCTGTGCAGGAAACAGGCAGAAAAATGCTGTGATGTCACCTGTACCCAAAAAACAGGCAGAACAAATGCTGTGATGTCACCTCTACATAAAAAATAGCCAGAAAAATTATGTGATGTCACCTGTACCCAAAAAATAGAGCCAGAAAAATGCTGTGATGTCACCTCTACTCAAAAAACAGCCAGAAAAATGCTGTGATGTCACCTCTACTCAAAAAACAGCCAGAAAAATGCTGTGATGTCACCTTTATACAAAAAAACAGGCAGAAAATGCTGTGATGTCACCTGTACACAAAAAACAGGCAGAACAAGTGATGTGATGTCACCTGTACACAAAAAACAGGCAGAACAAATGCTGTGATGTCACCTGTACACAAAAAACAGGCAGAACAAATGCTGTGATGTCACCTCTACACAAAAAAAACAGGCAGAACAAATGCTGTGATGTCACCTGTACACAAAAAAACAGCCAGAAAAATTATGTGATGTCACCTTTACACAAAAAAAAAACAGGCAGAAAATGCTGTGATGTCACCTCTACACAAAAAATCAGGCAGAACAAGTGATGTGATGTCACCTGAACACAAAAAACAGGCAGAAAACGCGGTGATGTCACCCATCAGTGTGAAGAGGAACGGGCTGGCTGTGGGAACAACACCCGGTCACAGTGGGGTTGGAAGGGAACGAGGGGGTGCCAGGGGTGTTTGCCCAGAGCCTGAGGGGCCCGGCGCTGCCCAGGGAGGGCAGAACTGCCCGGGGTGAGGGCAAAACTCCCCCTGCCCAGCACGAAGGAGCAGCCCAGAGGGGAAGTCTGAGGCTGCGGGAACAAAGGAGGCTCAGAGTCCCTGTTCCAAGGGTGAACCTGGAGACCAGGAAGTGCCCACCGTCCTGGGAAGGACTGGCTGGTGCCCCCAGGATGGGAAATGTTCCCGTTCCTTGGCCCCAGGAGCTCTGGGGACCCAGCCCCACAGACCCAGCCCCACAGACCCAG